ATTTAAAAATTATAATCTATGTGCTCAAAACAGTAGATATGTATTTGATAAGCAAGAATTGAGATTGTAAAAAGAAAAAGATCTAATCTTTTCCTGAAGTGCTAGAAACAATGGACTCTCTGACACTCATTGCTTTTCTTTTTTTTTTTTTCCTTTTTTATCATATCTTTAAGTTCTAAGGGTACATGGAACATGTGCAGGTTCGTAACATATGTATACATGTGCCATGTATGCATCCATGTCCCTACAAAGGACATGCTCTGGCCTGCAACCCATTAACTCATCATTCATTAGGTGTATCGCCTAAAGTTACCCTCCGCCGTCCTCCCCCAACCCACAACAGCATCCGGTGGTGAGATGTTCCACCTTCCCATGACACGTGTTCTCATTGTCAACTTTCCCACCTATGAGGTGAGAAAAATGCAGTGTTGAGGTTTTGCTGCTCTTGGTGATAGTTCGTGAGATGATGGTTTCCAGCTTCGGTCAGTCCCTACAAAGGCATTGAACTCATCCTTTTCATGGGCTGTATAGTATTCACAGTGTATATGTGCCAATTTTCTTAATTCAGTCCTGTCATTGTGGAGATTTTGGTTGGTTCCAAGGGTCTTTGGTATGTGAATAGCTGCAACAATAAAACATAACGTTGCATGTGTTCTATTAGCAGCATGTTTATTAATCTTCTGGTTGCATACCAGTAATGGGATGCTGGTGTCATACGTATTCTACTTCTAGATCCTTGAGGAATGCCAACTGTCTTCCACAATGGTTGACTAGTTTACAGTCCAACCAAACAGTGTAAAAGTATTCCTATTTTCTCCACATGTCTCCAGCACCCTGTTGTTTTCTGAACTTTTTAATGATCGCCATTGCTACACTGTGTGAGATGGTATCTCCATTGTGGTTTTGATTTGCCTTTCTCTGATAGCCAGTGATGATGAGCATTTTTTCATGTGTCTGTTGTCCTGCATAAATGTCTTTCTTTTTCAGAAAGTGTCCTGTTCATATCCTTTGCCCACTTTTTGATGGAAGTTTTGTTTTGTTTTTTCTTGTAAATTTGTTGAGTTCCTTTTGTAGGTTCTGGATATTAGCCCTATGTCAGATGAGTAGATTGCAAAAAGTTTTCTCCCATTCCCTGTAGGGTTGCCTGTTCACTCTGACTGGTAGTTTCTTTTGCTGTGCAGAAGCTCTTTAGTTTAGGATTAGATCTCCATTTGTCCAATTTTGGCTTCTGTTGCCTATTCTTTTGGTGTTTTAGACATGACGGCCTTACACATGCGTATCTTAGAAAACCCACATCGTCTAGCCCAATCTCCTAAGCTGATAAGCAACTTCACAAGTCTCAGGATTAGAAAAATCAATGTGCAAAAGTCATACATTCTTTATAACACAATAACAGACCAAACAGAGGAGCCAAATCATGAGTGAACTTCCATTCACAAATTGCTTCAAAGAGAATGAAACACCTAGGAATCCAACTTACAAGGATGTGAAGGACCTCTTCAAGGAGAACCAAAACCACTGCTCCAGTGAAATAAAGACGGACCCAAACAATGGAAGACATCCCATAGCTCATGTTAGGAAGATCAAATATTGTGGAAAATGGCCATACTGTCCAAGGTAATTATATAGATTCAATGCCATCCCCATTAAGCTACCAATGACTTTCTTCACAGAATGGGAAAAAACTACTTTAAAGTTCATATGGAACCAAAAAAGAGCCCGCATTGCCAAGACAGTCCTAAGCCGAAAGAACAAAGCTGGAGGCATCATGCTACCTGACTTCAAACTATACTACAAGACTACAGTAACCAAAATAGCATGGTACTGGTACCAAAACAGAGATACAGACCAATGAAACAGAACAGAGCCCTCAGAAATAATACCACACATGTACAACCATCTGATCTGTGACAAACCTGACAAAAACAAGAAATGGGGATAGGATTCCCAATTTAATAAATGGTGCTGGGGAAACTGGCTAGCCATAAGTAGAAAGCTGAAACTGGATCCCTTCCTTACACCTTATGCAAAAATTAATTCAAGATGGATTAGAGACTTAAATATTAGACCTAAAACCATAAAAACCCTAGAAGAAAACCGAGGCAATACCACCTCATTGCTTCTCTGCCTTGAATTACAGGGGAGCTGAAGAATTGCCAAGATGGGAGTTGTAAGTAAATTCGAGGGTGCAGTAGGCTCCTAGAGAAGTTGTTAGAGGCATGGCACACTATTGCAC